ATATACTCATCAGTATTTCTGTGCACCATGTTGTCTCACTGACTTGAGAATACAAGCAGGGGCACTCCTTGCTGGAGCTACTATAGCTATTGGATAGTAGCTTGATGATAGAAGCAGGACAATGCTTCATTTATTCCTCCCAGAAGAAAGAACGCAGGGGGTGACAGAGATAGAGGCAGAGATTTTGGCTATGTCTCATCCTCCTTCTTAAGCCCATTGCCTGGCATCTATTACAAAAGAGGCAAAGGCTTTTTTTGTACTCCCTATAAAGTAAGAAGAACTGATATGACAATGGAGGGAACAGCCAGAAAGTCAGAGGGTGGTCCTTGTATGCCCCATTGCTCCCAGTTCCCAAAAGAAAAGCTCAGACACCAACTTGAGCTTAACTAGGTTAGTTAATTAATTATTACATGAATGAACTGAAACATATTAACTCTTTTCCATCTGTAGTGCAGGTTCCTTAACATCTATCCAGTGGGTCTGCCAGAGTAATGGTTTGACCTACTCTGACTCAAAGCTTGGAGCAGTAAAGTAGTTGTTCTTCCCTCCTCTTTGCCTGCATGCCAAACTGAGTTGAGAGATGCTAGACACCAGCATCTTTCCTCCATGCCAATTAGCATGTGTGTTTAGGTGATGATGACCAACACTGAGAGAATTGCTTTCCCTGACCCTTCTGCCAGTTATCCTGTAGTGTCTGGTTTGGTTACCTCTGTTGCTCAGGGTGCTTGCTGATCTAAACTGAATAATAGCACCTACTCTGCCCCTGCCAGATTTTAGATTAGCTGATGTCACTGAGACCAGGCTTATTTAGTAAGCCACCCAACACAGCATTTATCTCATTCCATCTGGCTTCCCATATCAGTCAGGCTGGGAGAACATATGCTTCAAAGAGCAGAATGCCCATTCCCCTGCTTTACACCTGAAGGACTGGATTTGTGCATATTGGGCCCCTGAAAGCTCTAGTACTTTTCAGTATCCTAAATATATCTGAAAGACCTTTGATTCTGATCAGATCCTTCACAAACACAAATCTCACTTGCACCTCCCAAGTTATGTGTGCTGTTCACTATCAGTCTTGAATATAACATGATGATCGGGGGGGGGGGGACCACTCACCCACAGGGCTTTGCATTCACACAGCATCTTGTTTAAACTGGGTTGCTAGCCATGCAAAGCAGTTATGCAGCACATAGAGCAGTTTTTCATGGACACAGGCCAATGTAAACAGGATACTATGCAAGTACAGGGTGGTAGTTAATTGGAAGCCTTAAACCTTTTCCTTTGTTCTCCCCCAGTCTGCAGCAATGCTCCCTCTAAGCTGTGGAGTCTTGTGAGCAAAAATTCTACTTTGTGAGCTACTGGCATTAAAGCTGGGGGCGAGCGATTTGGCTACTGCATAAATTAGTTTCCTCTGGAGCCATCCTTCCTGAGCTAAGACAAAAATGTGTGAGCCAGAGGCTAAAAAAACTGTGAGCTAGCTCACACTAACTCACCTTAGAGGGAATACTGGTCTGCCGGATAGGTGGACTGCCTATCACTGGACATCAGGGACAAAGCCTGTGCCTCTCTGTCTCTTGGTCTCTGCAGCTCTGCCTGCCTGTCAAATATGCAATCAAACTGTTCAGCTCTGTCCTCTAAATATCTTGTTGACTAGCCACCTGTTGCACAGAGGGCAGAAGTGGTAACCTCAACTCCATTCCTTCTCAATCTGCTCTGTCTGCCAGCATGTACAAGCAAAGTGACTGCCTAAAAGAAACTACTCAGATTTTACACAAATGCAGGTCTTATGTTTAGATATAATCAGAAAGTCTTCCAAAGTGATTGAGAAGGTGCAAAGACCATCAAAAAGTAGAAATGCTAATTATAGAAATGCCAACTGGGAAATCCATGATTGGCAAAAACATCAGTTATCTATTCTGATTGGATGATATCTGTTAGGCACATATTTGCTGAGTCACTCCCTTCCAGGCCCATAGCTACAGTGGGGCCTCCTGGGCCCCACTCCTCCGACTCCCTCCCAAGCCCCCCGACTTTTGGGAAGAAGCTGGGGGGGGGCTTGGGATGCTGCCATGAATTCACAGCTTGGAGTCCAGGCACGCGGCCCTTGCTTCTCCCCCAAAGCATTAAAAGGGTCACTTTAAATGCTTTGAGGGAGAAGCGGGAAGGAGGCTGTGAATTTCATTGCCCCCCAACTTTTTAAAAGGCCCCCTTGTTTAAAAAAAATCCTGGCCACAGGCCTGCTCCCTCCCCTTACTGTCCTTCCTCATGCTTATAAATATAAACCAGATAGCAATGTGCCATAATAACGTATAAAATTTTCGACTGCTCCAGAATGTTGGAAATAATTAAGTTTGGACTTAAGCCATTTACTAGATTTATAAAAATTGCATGGTATGGGTCAGATCCTTATTAGTAACTAGGAATAAGGCCCATTGTGGAAATAAATACAACGAGATCTAGAAAGAGGCTCTGGGAGAGTGCTCTGGCTTTGGGCAAACAGTGTCAATTTGCTGTGGTGACCTCAGCAGGGTATAATGACAGAGTCCACTGTTTTCTCCAGAGGAACTGATCTCTGCTACCTGAAGAGCAGTTGTAATTTTGAGTGATCTCTAGCCCTCACCTGGAGATTGGCAACAATTGTTACCCAGGACGAAATTGCTGGTTTGGAGGGTGGAGTCTATGGCATTCTACCTGTCTGAGGTCCCACGCCTCTGCAAACCCCACCCTCTCCAGGCTCCACCCTTCAAATCCCCAGGAATTTGCCAGCCTGGAGTTGGCAACCCCATCTCCTTCCCAGCTAACCATCAACCTACCATTATCTGCCCCTTTGACTTCAGCTGACGTCTGCCCTCCCTTCTGCAGAGCAGTTGTAATTCTGAGTGGTCTCCAGCCCTCACCTGGAGTTTGGCAGCAATGGTTCCCCATGAGGGACTCACTGGTTTGGAGGGTGGAGTCTATGGCATTGTACCTGTCTGAGGTCCCACCCCTCCTCAAACCTCACTCTCTTCAGGCTCCATCCCTCAAATCTCCAGGAATTTCCCATCTGGAGTTGGCAACCCTATCAGGACTGGCCCCAATGTGTTTTCTCCCAAAGGCCAAAATAGGTGACAGGACCAATCTTAGTTGCCTACCAACAGGCACTGAGGGGAAAGTAAGGAGGGAAATACCTGGAGATTGGGGGGGTGGAT